TGCTGGGCACATGAAAGACAAAGACCTGTTTCGCTTGTGCGAGTGGCAACAGCCCCTGCCAATGGAATAAACGATTTTTTTAGTCGAGGGTTCTGATAAATATGAACTTTTATGTAAATAAGTACACTTGTATCAACCGTGCCATTTCACGGCGCTGCCGCCAGAAACTTCTCTCGGTGTGCGTTTTTTCAATTAAATGTGAATCATAGAAAACTCCCTGTAAATTCGTTTTAATTATATTTCTTCAAGTCTAGCGAAGGGAGAAATTAAAACATGCAAAAATATGGCAATACGTTTTAAACGGTCAAATCTCATTTCGTCATATGCGAATCTTGTCTCAACTGGTCTCGAGTATCGAGCGGACGGCTTTAGGCAGTTACGCGCCGCACATCGAGTCGCTCGCAGTTCAGTACACGTTACGACGCCGCAGCGTCGACAACGATGGAAGATTGCGTTGACTACAACCAGTGCGATTCGTAGCTAAAAAAGTGAATATCTTTAATCGCTTACAGTTGTGTTGTTTGTGTGAAGTGTGAGTGCCCGAATAACTATGACCGACAACCAATTCGAGGTTAATTCCAGCGATGGCCCAGGCCCGGACGATTTAGGTTCGAAAGATGCGGATCGCCTTAACAAAGACGAATTGGAAAAATTGAAAAGTTTACCCAAAAAATTCAAGTGGGAGACCGTGAACGAGCGGCATGAATTTTTTCGTCAACTGGACCCTGTAATCAGTAATTGGAAGGGCCAACTTCCCAATCTACGAGACATTTTTGGGAAAGAAGAAATCGATTGTCTCCTAATGCAGTCGACGATCGACATAGATGAAGATGAAGATACTCCAGGACAACGATTCATTGAATTCGTTGTTCGTAGCGGCTACAAGGACGAGCCCGACCTCGACGAATACGGCAAGCCAATTTTGCGTCGCACCACTGCTGTGCATTGGGCAGCCAGAAATAATCATTACTTCGAAGTCATCGAGAATCTATTCAAAATTTACCACAGATTTGATACGAACTACGTCGACGAGCTCGGCTGCACGCATTTTCACGTAGCGTGCGCGTGCGGTTGTGACGACGTCGTGGAGAAATTTCTCGAGCTCGGCCAGGATCCCAATTTCATCTCTCAAGAATCCGACTGGTGCTCGATCGATTTGCTGGATTCGATGGGGAAATTGATAGAAGTGTTATGGAATTGTGCCGCAAAGAAAGTATACAGTGAATTAGATAGTATACTAATCAAATCGCAAGCGAGCTCAGATGATTCGTCGCTGTATTTAGCTGCAGAATTGCTGGCCCTGATATACTCAAAAAGCGACGACGATGAGTTAGCGAGGATGTTATTCAAATGCAGCGGTGGCGAATTAGACACGAACTCAGTCGACTGGATTTGTGAATTGGTGCGCATCTTACGCAAGAACAACGACGACGAAGACATCGCGAGGAAGATATTCAAAATCAGCGGCGGCATTCGGCAGCCGGTTTGGGTCCGGGAAAATTCACGTAGCACACCATTAAACCTCGCTTTAAAGATGGGCCACAAAGGGACTGTCGAATTACTGTTGAGAAGAAACGCCGGTCCGAATATAGCTGACAAGAACGGATTGACTCCTTTGCACACAATTTGCCAAAGAAACGACGACGAAGATGACGACTTGTTGAAGCTATTCCTCGAGATCAACGACGAATTAAATCAGCTGGTGGATGTCGACGTCAAGGACAAGAAGGGAAACACACCATTGCACTTGGCTCTAGCCAAAAGACGCAAATATAAAGACTTGATCGAAGTGCTGCTGAGAAGAGGCGCCGATCCCAATTGCGTCAACGAGGAAAGATTTTCAGCTCTGCACACAATTAGTCAAACAAGGTATATGAATGACAACTACGTGGAGGTATTCTTCAGAATCAACGACGAAATCCAGCAGACCGTGCAAGTCGATGTTAAAGACAAGTTGGGCCATACACCATTGCAATTAGCCGTGGCGAGTCTCTTGCCAGATACGGTCGATGTTCTCTTGGATCGTGGGGCGGATCTGTCCAGCTTCGTTTTTCTCACCGAGGAAGACTTCGACGGGTTAATGGGCTCGATAAAGGACGTGGATGAACATGAACGGTTTGAGGTCAAATTAAAATTCGCTTCGGACGCCGTTTCAATCGTCGAGAGACTCGAGCAAAAAGGATACGAGCTGGGCCGTAGCGACGCCCTGCTGATCATGAAGTGGTTCACTGCGTACGAATTATTCGCCAAGTCGACGGATCTTGACAAATGTTGGTGTGACGACGAGGAATTTGGGAGCAAGTCAAAAGAGATAATGATAAAACCAGATCTGTCTCTTCACGAGCTGGTTCAGTTACGAACTAAAGAGGCAGCAAAATTACTCAAACGCGAGAACTGGGACGAGTTAGCGCGTTCGGAGAAATTGTCGGATCTTCCCGTACGGCCTAGTGCGACTTGTGCAGTCTATCTGTGCGAAATAATGTCGAGAAGATTTTTCCGTCGATGGTCGCTGGATTCTCTGTTGGAGCTAATACGTTATGAACTGCCCATTCTCTGCTGTGAAAAGATCATCGAGCAGCTGATGAACGAAGACTTACATCGCATTTGCTTGGCTGCTGCACAACAAAGCCAGTGATGACTCGTTCATTTTTTCGTAAAATTACTTTGAATAATACAAAATTTTAATCGTTGGAAAAACTGCGGCAAGACACGCTCATTATACGTTACGTAAAATTAAATTTTTTTATTCACAACCTTATGTACTGACTCATGTGTTCAATATTATTATAATAAACAAATGAATAAAAATAAGTTTCAGTTCTATCATTAAAAATCCTACGGTCGACTAAGTAATAACATTAGCGTATTATGTCGATGAGAGAAATTGTTACTAAATACATCCTCTTCAAGAACCCATTGGAAATGAAAATTCTGAAAATTTCAGTTCATTAGATCCCTCCTTCGTGGACTTTACAAAGGCTCAAAATTTTATTCCATTTTATTTATATTCTGGGTTAAACACGGAAAAAATATAAGGAATAATAATTTTTCAAAATAAAATTTGAGGAGTAATCAAAATTATCATCAATCAAATCTCAAATATATAGCATAAGGGTTCAAAAAAGGATTTGTTCCACTTCGAATAGACCAAAATCGACTCATGTTCTATCGAACATGTTGAAGCAGAGACCGGGCCGAGACGTGCTCGACGCTAAGAACGAGAGCGGACAGACGCCCCTGGACCTGGCCCGGGAGAAGCCGGAGTTGGCGATCGTTTACCGCCCAATAATGAGTACGAGTCGAGTTGGGGATGTAGTTATGTGTTTTAGGTGTCGCAGTGATAGTCGGGTGTGTTTTTAAAAGAGATAATTGTACAGTTATTGAATGTATGTATACTACCTGTAGCATGTGTAAAAAGTAAAATATTTCATTATTTTCGACGATAAAATAGTGTCTGCTGATGTCTTATCGATGAATTCATGTAAAAAATGGAGGTTATGCCCTGCATCTCCGATTTCATAATAGGCACTCTCTTATAATAATATTAAAGATAAATTAGTGATCGACGACGCGTCAATTTTGAAATCGCTTTTCGAGCAGAATTGTGTGTGTCCGCGTAACAATAACAATAACATTAATCCGTTGATCGTTACGTGTATCTTTCATGTATTAAGAGGTTAAAATTTGGCGATCTCGAATATTTCATTTAAATTAATGTATTATGAATTATACTATAAATTAAAAAAAATCTTCTAAATTTGCTTAGAAAACCGCTGCTAATTTATTGGCAGCTCTTAGACAGCTCTTTCCCATAAAACTAGCATTGACTTTTTGGATAAATTTGAAAAAAAATTCTTAATGCATAATGAAAACCATAATACACTAATTTGAATTCAATTTTCGAAGACATACAACATTTCTTTCTTTTCTAGATAAGCTTAGCTCGTCCACGAGAATAGTTCGTAATAAAAATTGTACCATCCGAACATGAACGTTTGAAAAAGAAATAATTCGTTTGGACGGCAACTGTCGATTGTTGACAGCCGTTACTAAAGGCGTCTTGTTCTTCGCGATGTAGCATAAAATCTTTTTTTTCCAAATCAGCGAAAAAAATTTATTATCGACCAATTTTGCGATTTTTTATTGATTTCTATTATCAAAACACCGTCGAAAAAAAGTAACTTAATGTATGATTAATTTTGAACCTAAATTCGAAAAAAAAATTTAACTTCATATTCCTCACCTTTACGATTTCAAATTTTCATGTTTTATCGTTTTTAAGGTAAACAACACTGATTAAAATATGTTAACAAGAACTTTCTTTATAATGGTTTAAACGCTAGTGTTCCGCAAATTAGCACCATTGTAAAATTTATACATTTTTCTTTGATTTAGTGTATATTACATACATTTTATGTGCCGCTAAGTATTTTTAATTTGATTTGCGTAAATATCCACTTTATCGTGAACATACAACAAAACTAGTATTATTGAAGTAACGAAATTGCAATTAAAATTATGCATTTTCCTAAAGTAATATATTAGCATCCTTTATCTGAGCGCCTTCAGCAGGCAGCTATTGATAAATTTACCTTATATCGCTGTGCTGTTTCGACAGCTTGAATCGGCTTGACAGCGTGAATCGTAAATTTGTCTAAAATACTATTTAGAAAAATTTATTAAAAAAAATTTCTCGTTTTTGTTTACGAAAATTATATTTTTTCAGGGAAAACTAATCTTTTTTGGGGTTATTTTGAATTTCGTTTACCAATTTTAAAAATTCGTACGCAAAAGTACATTTGAAATTAAGTACATGATTATTGCCAGTTAATAAGATTTTTTGGAATTTATTCCAGGAGGTGATCAAGTAAATTTAGTAAAAGTAGAGAATTTTTTTAACTTATTTTTTTTATTTTTAATTCAACAATACAATAGTCAATAGAACAATCGAATTATATAAGAATTGCTAACAAATGAAAGGATTGTTTTCCAGCTTTTATCTCTCATTTCTAAATATCTGTGAAATCATTCGGTGCGAAGCACTTCGATTGGAACTTCGTAACAAATCGATCTTCAAATTCAACTTTCTGTTCGCATTCGAAGCTCACGCAATAATTGCCTTGACCATCTTTGAAAATTTTTTCATACATCTCCGATCGTCTTTCGCACCCCATATTAGTATTCACATACTGTTTAGCTTTCCCATCCAAACCGATTTTAACGAGTTTCTTGCCAGATGGGGTGACGTGTTTATCGTCGATATCGAACGGAGTGAAAATCAAAAATCCTTCGCCCCTCGGCAAATTGTACATGGAGTGTAGTGTGTACGGTTCGGCGATCAAACTGGTGGCAAACCAGTTGATCTCTTCGTCGTCGGGCTTGAACTGGGTGCATTTCAGGGTTGTGTAGTTTTTGGTGCATACTCCGATCAATCCATTGTCCAAGGACAATTTCGAGAAATTCGGAGTTATATAATGAGTTAAATTTCGTCTTTGACCTGGAAGAGTGTAAAATGTCTCATTAGTATTGATTTAAATCACTGAAAGTCACAACTAGTATCTTCGTTAATTACCATTTGGCTGAATAAGAGCCATTGTCACTCCTACATCGTTACTGATCTCGTGAGCAATTTCCATGAACAAATAGCCCTTGTCCTCTGACAATGGAAACATAAGCATCCCTGTCCCTTCTTTTACCGGAAAATCAAGTGGATAAGTGAGCCGCGAATTATCAACCTTCGAAACGATTCCTTCAGTATTGATCGAATATTTATCAATGCTCATTGAGTTGAAGAAAAAGACATCTAAATCATCTGTTTCTTCGAGGTATATGCCGTTGCTTAACTCATTATGACTGTATGAAGTAGCATAATATGGAATGATATTTTTCAAATCCAAACCCCTCGGAAGACTGGCAGTTTTCACATTACAATTGGAAAAATTGACGATACTGAATCTCAAGTCATACTCGTATTCCCAATGGTCGTTGTCAGTTAGTTCCATCCAAGAAAGGATCGCTCGATCCTCGCCCATTCGAGCGATATTAACGTAAAACGTATCGATCGAGCCACCGGACTGAGGGTGCAGCTTGACGTTGCACCTATCCTCCTTTGGACTGGTTCCCGAGAAATCATTCTGCAATCGATTCACAATACATTCCTTCGGTTCGGCGTCCCTTTGGAAGTTCCATTCGCACAAGCTGTAATAGACAAAAGTGGAATTTTCCGAGGACCACTCTGAAAACGTTGGATTGTAGGTTTCAGTGTCGACTTCGAACGATAAACTTCTGTAGGCGTTGGCAGTCGAAACTGAACCGAGTAAGGCGACCACCCAAAACATCGCGAATTTCGACATCGTAATTGTTAAATAATCTGTGCGCTGCTCTTGGCTTGTCGCTAGATAAAACGATACTGAGCTTCTAATCTTATTCGTCTTGTATTTATATTCGTAGCGACGTAAATAAAAACCGCGTGTTCGATTATACAAAAGTGATTCACTAACGGAATAATTATCGTACTTGATAGTTGATCTTTATTATCAAACCAATTTTTCCCATTCAACTTTTTTAAGTGACGACCCATTTTTATTGCAAATCGACTTTTATCAATTTTTGTGTCTGGTAAATTCTGATTACATATTTGTAAAGAAAACAGAATTAGTGACTGATGCCTGCATATGTGCGTGTGCGTGTGTGTGTATATGTGTATGAGATTGACAGTAAGAATGACAATTATTTTTTGGACGGAAAAGTGATTCTTACCCTGAAAAAATGAGCTGTGTAAAATTTGGGGGCTGACAAATCATTTTAACCCGTGCCTCCACGAGACTTTATGATCGCAATTTTAATCGATTTTTTTCAAATCCCTATAGATTTGAGGGGTTCTAAACTCTAAATAACCCACTATTTTAAAGGGAGGCTATCATGAGACTCGATCAAAAAATCGATTTTTTTTTGCTTGCTTAGTTAGCAAATGTCTCGTAGAATACACCCTCGAACCCCTCTTTACGAAAATCGATTTGGTAAAAAAGTTATAGGCAAAAAACCGAAGCTGTTTTTTATGAGGGAACGATGTATGTAGTTATGTACATTCACTTTCTAAGATATTTTTATAAATTGAATAAATTGTCTAGAGGTTAAACCTATAAAATTTTAAATATTTTCATTATTATTATTTTTTGGAGCCCTTAAAAGAGCCAAAAAAGACAAAAAAAATTTCTGAAGTCCGCCATTTTGTCATTTTTTAATTTGAATTGAGATTTTGAATGATAAGTAGACAAGCTTGAATTCCAGATAGAAAACTCCAGCATTCATCGATTATTTTATGAATTACATTGCGAGAAAGAAATTATAGTTTTTTCTCAGGTTTTGAGTTTGAATAATTGTTTTGTTAGCTCTTATCAATAAAATAGGAACAATAATTTTTTGTCAAAAACAAGACGTTTTCTTACGTATTTTTATGTGTAGAATCGAATTCCGCAGTCATTTTTAACGTAGGTGGACGATTTCATTTAAAAATGCACTTTTTTGATATCTTTATGCTGCGTATAGAACAATAAATCAGCTTGTAAATGTTTAAAAATGACCAGAAAAAATTTAAAAAATTTTTTTACACTGCTCAAATTAAGGATTTTTCGCGAAGATTCCAACAGTATATATTCTAACATTATGTGATTCTAATAGTATGTGATTTAAGATTATTTTCATACAAAAATTTTATCACGAAAAACGACATTATAAAAGATTAAAAAATCGAAAAGCATATTCGTTTCTTCAAAAAATAGCTGAGTATAATCACTATTTTTGTACTATTTTTTAGCTTAAAATTCAATAATTCTGTGCTAACTGCATTCATTGAAAAATAAGTTTTTCTGATTGTTGAATCTTTCGAACAAAATTTCGATGAAATTTTTTGTTGCGATAATTTTGTTGAGTAGTGTATGAAAGTTTTGTCTGTCTTGATGCATAAAGAAACATAACATTATATGCTTTTTAGTCTTTAAAGCAGATTTCACATCAATTACATATTATGCACATGGGTTTTCTCAAAATTTAAAAGCAGTGTTGCAATCATTAGAATCGGTAATTTTCATTGCTAACACATGTATACATGAAAAATGAAGAATTCCAGCTTATTCATTTGATTCTTTTCTATTCATTTGATCATCATCGAAATCGAAAGACCTATTTTTAGGTGGAAACATTTGATAAAGTGCAAATTTGACACTGAATTTTATTTTTTCCTGTAAAACCTATGACGACATTACAAACGTCTACTCATATTTTTTGTCGAGTTGACAGAGAATCGACCATATATACATTTCTTACTTTTATCTTTTGTTCTCTGTTTATCACAGACGTTCGTTACCGTTGTCTACGTCAATTGTATCATAAAGTAAGATTATGCCTGTAATTAAACAAATTCCAATTGGATTTGGTTATATAGTTAAATTTTACTTCCTCATGGAGAAATCTCTGACGTACTTTAAACCAGACGTCGTTGAAAAATTTGGGTTAAAGTTTTGTAAACTAGATCGAATTCCCAACAAATCTTTGTGTGTATGAGTGTGCGTGCATGTATGTACGCGACAAAATCTCGAGAACGGACGGTGAATCGTGTTGAATTAAATTGTATTTATTGTTGATTGTACCAACTATGCAGTTGGTAAAGCTAATGTAGTAATGTTCGTCGGAAAAAATTTTTTTTATGATTTTTATTTTTATATTTTTTATTAGAAATGTTGAAAAAAATTATTTTATCGATTTTCACTGTATAAATGAAATATTTTCAGATTTTTTCCGTAGTTATAAAAACAGAGCAATCAATCTGTAATTCGAGACAACAAACGTGAAGATTCGTCAAATATTATGAATGTTACAGACTCAAATTGAAAAGTTGTATTTTTGTTTTGTCATATAGAGTTACATAAGGATGAGAGAACATAAGGTATGTATTATCATCTTCAATTGAAGATTTATTATTTACTCATCAATAACAAAACTTTAGTTAGTTTATATCAGTGGTTATACCCAAGAAAATCATATTTCTATGATGAAGCTCTTTACCTATGAATTGGCAGCGTATTTTCAGATTATTAAAATAATCGGGCCATTACAAGTATAGCTATAAGTAAAAAGTGTGACAAATCTTCTTCGCACCGTCGCACACGCCCACTCACACTGGAAGACGAGATACATGTATAGAGAAAAAAAGAAAGAGAGTAGCGAAAGAGAGAGAGAGAGAGAGAGAGAGAGAGAGAGAGAGAGAGAGAGAGAGACATCACGCGATGGCAACGCTGACAAGTAGTGAAGTTTTCATAGTGGCAAAGAATTGCAGTCGAACACTTTGATCCCTCACACTATCCCTGGTTTCGAATGGTCAAATTGGGAAATAAGTTTACCGCTTGCAAATCTTTAAATAACCCGACGAAGTAATGCTATGTAAATGTGACGTATGAGTATACGAGTTTTTTCTTATCTTTTAACTTTTTTCCTTGTTTCCTGCAATTTTTGTTGTTCTCACCGATTTAAACACGGGTCAAACCCATAAATTTCGTGTGTCATTACCTTGATCATGGAGTCCACGGCTAGGCAACAGCACTAGGGAAGTGACGTAGAAATTGCTTAAGGGGACATTCCCATTGAAAATGAAAAAAAAATCGATACATTTTTTTTACGTTAAAACGTTCTTTGACATCATAAAAATATCCTGTTAAAATTTTAGAACGAAATTCATAAAGGAAAAAAAGTTATGCCCGATTTCACGAAGTGTCTAGCATGCTCGATATGTACAGAACAAAACTTCAGACGAGTTTGTTTTTCTTATAACTACATTTTTTCAGCTCTTAGCAGCGATTGAGAAAAAACTATTGGTCCGATCTTTACGTTTAACGTCTCGTTTTAATCGTTACAACTTTTTTTAGAAGACAAACCCCTAAAAAGTTGAAAAAACCATTCCCAATTCTTTTTATAGGGGTGAATTCACCCCCATAACCACCGAAAAGAGCATTTTTTAAGGAAAAATTCGTGCAAAAATCGTAAAAATTGAAAATATCAATTTTTTAGAGGTTTGTCTTCTAGAGAAAGTTGTAATGATTAAAACTAGACGTTAAACGTAAAGATCGGACCAGTAGTTTTTTCTCAATCGCTGCTAAGAGCCGAAACACGGATTTCAGCAAATTCCGTCTACAGCCAACAAAATGGGTCTTGAGTCCCATAAAAAAAATTTTTTTGTAGTTTAATATGTAAGAAACAATACCCAAAAAGTTCTAATGAATAAAAATGATAGTTCTCAAAAAAAAAAAATTTAAAAAGTGATTTTTTTTACAATTTGCAATAGAAATGTCCCCTTAAGTACGGCTTTGCTTTCCAAGCCATACTTCAAACTCACGTATACATGTGTGTGTGTGTGTGTGTGTGTGTGTGTGTGTGTGTGTGTGTGCGCGCGTGAGCGATCGTACGTTAAGAAAGAAGTATATATGAAGAGATAATTTCAAATTTAAGTATCTAAATTTAACGTGACCGATTAGATTACTGATTTGATGAATGTAATAAGAGTTCGTTCAACACACTCGGCGATTAATTGTGAATTCATTTATTCGAGAAACGTCAATTTTCACTCTGATAAATTTCGCTCGTTTATTTTCGCAAACGTGGTCCATTTTCAAATATGTAATAGTCGTAATTCTTTTTTCGATGAAACTCGCGAGAGTGAGACTATTCGAAGATCTTTTTTTGTTAATACCGGTAGTGTATTGCATCTATTTGAATTTCAGATCTAATTCCCTTGAAGTCGTGTTAAAATTTGTTGTTGATAGTTCTCACCCTTGTAAGCTCATAATTTGGCTTACAATGAAAGAAAATCACTGTTCGATCTCGATAAGTTCACTCTAGATTGCGACACTACGGATCAACGACTTTGTTTATTTACGGAACAGCGGATGCCCTACCACTGCCATCAGCTGATTGTATCCCTACTGTGACAGATCAGCTGATGGTTACCGGAGAAGGAAGATTTTTGCCCGAGTTTTGCGCTATAAAAGAGCCAGCACGGACGATCGGAGAATCGAAGATCGGCTCACTTGTGATATAATAGTGTTTCGTAATAGATTTTGTAAACAGTGTACATAGTTTTATTGTTAAATAAATTGTTATTGTTGAGTTAAACAAAACTCTTCGTGTTATAAATTACACCACTTTCTCCTCTTTTCAGGACGCGAAGTCGAGTCTGCATTGTAACGTAAATTTAGCTTGATCTAGTAAAAATAATCTTTTCTTATTTTTTTTGTTGAAATAACATGGGAAATTTAAAATAAAATGTAAATAAGAGTTTTAAGCTACTTAAAAGCGCCAAACCTTGGGTTTAGCCACAGTTTTCACTTTCTGGTAGAC